TCGCAGCTCCTCGCTTAAGCCCCGTCAGACATTTTAAAGAGCATACTTTTTGGCTTGAGCGAAATGCCTATCCTAATATCATAACAGAGCTCTCTTATGGATCATACCGAGTACATATACATATGTATATTGTGTACAGAGGAACGCTCGTAAATTATTTCTTTTGAGTGTCTCTAAATCAGCCAGAGACTTTTGAATATAAATTTAAAATGAATATGAAAACAAATTGATAAATAAATAAACTGATGAATATGCGTATTGTTGCTGCCCGAGGCGCATCATAACCTTTGCCTAGACACCCACCTGCTCGCCGTTGAGTCAATAATACACTCATACTAACAGATATATAAGCCCGAAAGACATATTAGATGCGATTTTTTCTTAAATGGTTATACGAGGCCATCGACTAAAACAAACAAACAAATGCCGACAAAAAATGGAAATACAAATTTTTGGCCAATGCTGGAGGCCAGCATCAACACAGCTGAGTGAGAGAACTAATTGAAAATTGTATTTGTAGCTCGCATTCACGTCACAGCGTTTTACTCTTTTGAATACTGTAGGCCAGTATTTAAGGTATTACGAACTGTCTAGGAGAATTGCAAAGTACATACATATGTATTTGTGCATATGGGAGCATACGCTATGAGTCGAAAAATGTATATGTATGCAGGAGTTGTATGTATGTATGCATAGAGAGTCCGAGTCCTTTTTATAGCTCTTATATACTGCATATGAATGTATGTGTTTTCTATGTGTATGTATGGATATACATATACACATATGTATGTATAGGTGAGTGTATGTAAGTACTTATGTGTGTATGTATTTATGCATGTATATATATGCATGTACATAGGTATATATAGATCAATCTGTAAATGTAGGTTTGCAAATACTTAACAATATGTTTGCATTCTCGCATGTATGTGTTTCAGTATGCATGTGTATTACGTATGTACATACAACAGCTTTACACAAGATTTCATGATACACACACATCCATAAATTCATTTGCTACTGTGACCATTTAGAAACTATTTAGTTTATATTCAAAATAAAAATAAGAAAATATACAAATAGTAGCTGAGCTCGTAGGCAGACACAGCACAATGTATATGAAGAGAATATCCCACCCACCTAAGCCAAACAACTTAGTCACGAATATAACCAACAGAAGACAGAGATTGCATCCCTTGGATCGTAGAAGTAACTTTAATTCAAGATAACAAATGACTTAGCAGCAATAACGGCATTTAGCTATGTTATAGTTAAGGTATATTTAATACTGTGCTGTAGAATGTAGAGAGGTCCAAAATGGTATAAAATAAATCAAATTTAAAATAAAGTAATAGTTTAATTAAAAAATTATATTTTAAAA